ACGCGTGTAATGGATTTTATTTGGCCTTTTTGGGGGCTGAAGAAAGAAGATTTTAGAAAAAAGAAGACGTCATATGGTAAGTTTAATTTTAATTTTTTTACAGGTTAGTTATTTTATTCCCCCCTCACTATTTGTAGGGTGAGGGGGGTAGGTAGGGGATAGGTTTTTTTTGGGTGGGGGGGATGGTGACTAGGGGCTTGGGACCCCTAGTCACCTTGATTGGGGGGGGGGTGTTTCATTTAGGGCCCCCACCCACCGCTCAGGGGTGGGGGCCGGGGGGGGGGAGGACAGTAGGTCCCCCCCTTATTGTTTTACTGGGGCCCCCACCCACCGCTCAGGGGTGGGGGCCGGGGGGAGGACAGTAGGTCCCCCCCCCTAATTGTTTTATTAGGGCACCCACCCACCGTGCAGGGGTGGGGGCCAGGGGGGGTACAGAAGTTCCCCCCCATATCTTTATTTAGGGCCTCCACCCACCGCTCAGGGGTGGGGGCCAGGGGCCAGGTTCCCCCCCATCTTTATTTAGGGCCCCCACGGGCATGGGGGGAGTGGGGGGGGTTATTCGTTTTTTTTTGTTTGTTTTTTTACAGTGAGCAGCTATAAGCAGTAGGTCCCCCCCTTATTGTTTTATTAGGGCCCCCACCCACCGCTCAGGGGTGGGGGCCAGGGGGGGAGGACAGTAGGTCCCCCCCTTATTGTTTTATTAGGGCCCCCACCCACCTCGCAATGGTGGGGGCCGGGGGGACGACAGAAGTCCCCCCCATATCTTTATTTAGGGCCCCCACCCACCGCTCAGGGGTGGGGGCCAGGGGGGGGAAGGACAGTAGGTCCCCCCCCTTATTGTTTTATTAGGGCCCCCACCCACCACGCAGGGGTGGGGACCAGGGGGGGAGGACAGTAGGTCCCCCCCCTTATTGTTTTATTAGGGCCCCCACCCACCGCGCAGGGGAGGGGGCCGGGGGGTGGAGGACAGTAGGCCCCCCCCTTATTGTTTTATTAGGTCCCCCACCCACCGCTCAGGTGTGGGGGCCAGGGGGGGAGGACAGTAGGTCCCCCCCCTTATTGTTTACTAGGGCCCCCACCCACCGCGCAGGGGTGGGGGCCAGGGGGGGACAGAAGTCCCCACCATATCTTTATTTAGGGCCCCCACCCACCGCTCAGGGGTGGGGGCCGGGGGGGGGAGGACAGTAGGTCCCCCCCTTATTGTTTTATTAGGGCCCCCACCCACCGCTCAGGGGTGGGGGCCAGGGGGGGAGGACAGTAGGTCCCCCATTAGGCATATTAGGCCCCCACCCACCGCCATTGTGGGTGGGTTGTGAGGACAGTAGGTCCCCCCTTTACAGCTTATTAGGGCCCCTTACCCACCGCTCAGGGGTGGGGGCCGGGGGGGAGGACAGTAGGTCCCCCCCTTATTGTTTTACTGGGGCCCCCACCCACCGCGCAGGGGTGGGGGCCAGGGGGGGAGGACAGTAGGTCCCCCCCTTATTGTTTTATTGGGGCCCCCACCCACCGCGCAGGGGTGGGGGCCAGGGGGCGAGGACAGTAGGTCCCCCCCCATTATCTTCATGGCCCTCACCCGCCGCTCAGGGTGGGGGAGGGGGGAGGACAATAGGTCCGCCCCCCCTTATTGTAATTTAAGTCTGTTTTTTTCAACAGTGAGCAGCCATAGGCCATAGGCTGTTTAGTAGACATGCCCCTACTCGCGGTATAGCGAGTAGGGGCATTTGGGAGATTTTAATCTCCCTTGTGCTATTATGGGGGTCATATTGACTCCCATAGAGTGAGAGGGGGTACTGGGGAGGGCTTATGAAGTGGTGGGGAGCACTGCTCCCTGCCGCTTCTATAGTTACATATTACAAGGAGGGAGCTGCACGCCGGTAGCTCCCTCCCTGTAATAAGCTGCACGAACAAACTAACACTGATACATAGTGTTAGTTTGTTCGGCTGATATTTCTATTCACTCATTCGTCTGTCTGATGAATGAATGAATAGCTGAAATTCCCGTTCGCATGTCCAGGTGTTTCACTGGGCATGTGCGGGAATCTCAGTGTCTGCCTAGTGTGGGCTGATGACGTGTCCCACAGGGACTTCATCTACCCACACAAAGATGGCTGCGCCCTGAATGAAGATCGGGGCAGAAAATAAGGAATAAAAAATAGGTAATGTGGGGGTCTTAGGGGCATTTGGGGGTGACTAGTGGGTCAATTGGATGTAGTGGATGCGGGAGGGGGGTTAAAAAAAAAAACGGGATTCGGCATGACAGTGCCGCTTTAAGACACTACTTCTCAGAGAATGAACACCAAGACACGGCCCCAACCATAGTCTGGGAGGCACACAAATGTGTCATGAGGGGGACGCTTATAAAGTTGGCATCAGACCACAGGCGCCAAAGAGAGAGTAGAGTGAACAACCTATTAGAGGAGACTAAAAAACTAGAGGACCAACACATCGGCGACCTGTCGATCACGACATATAAAACACTGTTAACAAAAAGATCAGAACTCGCCACCACACTACAACTCCAGGCAAAAAGGACAATTGGCTTCACTAAACATACATATTACACACAAGGTGGTAAAAGTGGCAGGCTCTTGGTCCAAGCCCTAAAACAAGAAAAGCCTTCAACCTTTGTATCTGACATTAAGCTGCAGGATGGGACGGTCTCTCAGAAGATGCCAGAGATTCTAAAGGCCTTTAGAAATTATTATACCGGACTCTACAATCTCAGAGCCTCCCCTCCCGACCCCGCAGACATAGAAAAGTTCCTCCAGGGGAGAATCAAGTGGACCATCACACCTAATGTGCGACAATTCTTAGATGTTCCTATCTCGGAGGAGGAACTCAGATACGCTATAATACAGCTACCCTTAGGCAAAAGCCCGGGCCCGGACGGTTTTACAGGCAGATACTATAAGACACTGTCCCAGGACCTATTACAGGCATTTCTTAGAGCCTTTAACACAAGGGACCTAAAACACACTATCCCACACTCCGCCTTAGAAGCCCACATAGCACTGATTCCCAAAGAGGGGAAAGATCTGTCTAACTGCGGGAGCTATAGACCCATCTCGTTAATAAACTTAGACCTGAAGTTATTCACTAAGATACTGGCCACTAGACTTAAGCCCTTACTCACGGAGCTCATACAGGAGGACCAAGCGGGCTTTGTGCCTAATAGGGAGGCGAAAAACAACACCACAAAGCTTATCAATTTGATGCACTGGGCAAGGACCTCACACAAAGCCTCCCCCAGTCTACTTTTGTCAATAGATGCCGAGAAGGCTTTTGACAGAGTGGATTGGTCCTTTATGATGGCCACGATGAGAGGATTGGGGTTTGGGGACAGGTGGATGGAGTGGCTTGAAACTATATACTCCTCCCCCACAGCTAAATTGAGAATAAATGGCCAACTATCTGAGACAGTCCAAATCCGAAATGGAACGAGACAGGGATGCCCTCTCTCGCCGTTAATTTTTATTCTAGTGCTAGAACCGTTCCTACAAGGGATAAGAGATAACCATCAGATAAAGGGATTCGCTGTAAACAGCATAGACTACAAGGTCTCTGCGTTTGCAGATGATCTTTTGTTCACAGTGGCGGACCCTCTTCACTCACTTACTCAAATTCTCAGGGAAATGGACTCCTACAGTACGGTCTCCAACTTTAAGGCAAATCTCACCAAATGCAAAATTCTCCCAATACTAATCAAACCAGAACTAGAGGGGCAGATCAAATCGTCATTCCCCTTCAGCTGGGCCACTAAGTCTATAAAATATCTAGGGGTCCACCTCCCACGTAAATTAGAACACATATATGAACTGAACGTCCTCCCAATCTTAAAAGCAATCTCTGCAGATCTGATCAAATGGCACAGACCGGGCTTTGGTTGGTTTTGCAGGGTTAACATTATTAAAATGAATGTGCTCCCTAGGCTACTATACCCTCTCCAAACTCTACCCATAGCTATCCCTAAGTCTTTCTTTGATGCGGTACGTAAAAACGTCAATGCCTTCATTTGGTCACACGCCCACCCCAGATTGGCACACGCTTCCTTGACGATCCCCCGTGAAGGTGGAGGAGTGGGTCTCCCAGACTTGGAACTATACCACAAAGCCATACACCTGGCCAGGATATACGAGTGGACTAAAGTGCCCTCTCCACACCAGTGGACGGCGATAGAAAACTCATTCCTAGAAACCCCTATACAGACGTTACCCTGGCATAAGACAGCCTGCCCTTTCATACGTCATAAACACTATCCCACAATAGAGGCCACTCTCAAGGTATGGCAGCCCCTACACACCAACGAAACCATGTCAAGCTTCCCATCACCACTGTACCCAATCACTCACAACCCCCACTATGAGCCGGGTAAGACGGGCATTCTATTCAACCCTAATCAGAAGAAAGATTACATCAAACTAAGGGAGGTGGCAAAAGAAGGTCGACTATTACCAATTCAAATCTTAGCTGCTTCACAGACACCATCAGGGATACAGCAGTTACACTACGCCCAACTAACTCACTTTATCCGAACCATGCAACTCCTGCCAAAAGGAGAGAGAGAACTCACTGACTTTGAACAGTTGTGCTCCGAGCACAAACTGAAAAGAAAAGTGCTCTCCACAATGTGCAAATTATTGCTCAAGCCCCGGGAACAGGAATTGCCCGCTTTTGTGGGGAAATGGTGTAATGAAATACATTTAGATATCTCCATCACCCAATGGAGACAAATATTTTTGAGGGCCCATAAAACATCCACCTGCTTAAATACACAGGAGGAAAACTATAAGATATTGTCCCGTTGGCACTATACCCCAGCCAAGCTACACAAAATATACACTACGACGCAGCACGCTTGCTGGAGATGCCAGCAACCCAATGCTCATCCCGCGCACATATGGTGGGAATGCACTCACATACAAGCCTTCTGGAATAGAATGATTAAGCTCATTAACATTGCCACAGGAATAAATATACCATTCTCCCCGGAATATGTATTGTTCCTTCTCCCGCCCCCTGGAATAAAGAAACATACTTTATCACTCATTACACACCTCCTCACGGCAGCAAATCTGCTAATACCAAAACAATGGAAACAGGCACAACCCCCCTCTGTCAGAGAATGGTTTAGTAAGGTAGAAGGAATAAAACAAATGGAGGAGCTTACTTTCGCCACAACCAAAGACCTTCACACGTTCAACCGTATATGGGGACCCTGAAATGATTTCCTAAGTAAGGCAAATATGCCAGGTGAGCGTCCCGCCCCAGTATAGTGATACCCAACACAATACGCACATAGGTCCGGAGAGGCTCTATCTAACTCTATCTAATACTATCGCTGTATTGATTACTGATAATGGGATAGTCAAACCGTTAAACTGAACTATCTAATCTCCTATGTGTAATCTTCTGTAGAATCGCTCAAATGATTACTGACAACGTGATAACTAATCGGTTAAACTGCAATATGTTAAGTCCTACATAAGAACGCTGTGATAATAATTGTCAATGCGAGAGTTAAACGGACAAACTGCACTTTTCAGGTTCCTATGTGAAGAAATAATCCGACAACACACGTGACAAGGGTTATGTAGCTCATTTTACTGTTAAAAATTGATTGTTCATCTTAAATATGTACAAAGCCTAACAACTTGTAATTGTATAACGTTGCATTTATGATGTAATTTTCTGTTGAAAAACGAATAAAAAGAAAATAAATAAAAAAAAATAAATAAAAAAAAGAAACATTAGATAAGGAAATTCGCTTCGTCGGTCTTTTGGAGTGCAACACATTGTTGGAGGATAAACCACCTTTGGCTACTGCTAATATTGATTTTAAATCTGCTTTTGTTACCCAGTATAACACTGACCATCATAAAAATAAAAAGAAGCCTAAAGAATTGTTGGCCCATTTTATTGCAGAACCCGGTTCTGGGAAATTAGTTATCAGACCATCAAAAAGAATAAAAACTTTAAGAACATGCTGGCCCCGAGTTATGCTATTAAACCTATTAGAGATAATACTATGGTGAATATTGGATCCTTTAGGGGCTGTGGTTTATGTAAGGCCTGCACCACAGCATTTATTGAGAGAACCAATGAGTTTTCCAGCATTTTCACAGGGAAGTGTTTAAAATCAGAACGGAGATTGGTTGCCACACGGACCATGTAGTGTATTTGCTGCAGTGTCTGTGTGGCAAACAATATGTGAGCCGTACTAAACATCCCCTAAAGGTCAAATTACTGGAACATCTGCATAACAAAAGAAAAAATCTCACTACCCATTCTGTTCCAGTTCATTGTAACAGCTGCCATGTTTTTTCTTTTCGGGACCTTAAATGTACAGGCATCAAAAAGGTCTTACCTTTCTGGCGTGGAGGAGATGGGGTTAAGAAATTGTCCCAGAGAGAAACCTTTTGGATACATAGACTTAATACTTTGGAACCTAGGGGTTTAAACATAGGTATTGATCTGGTTTGTTTTCTGGATTAGGGTCTTTTTTTATAAATTAGTTGATTATCTGTAAATATTCCATTAAATATCGTGAGAATGTGTATATATATATAAAAAAGTAGATAGCACTCCCAGGTCTCTTTTCAATAAAAATTAGCTTTTAATTTTCCAAGTAAAAAAATCGACGTTTCAGTCTGAAGATTCAGACTTTCATCAGGACAAGGTTAAACATTACATTACACATTTATTTATACCCACACCACTTAAACAATCATCAAACAAACTTACCACACCTGGATGGAGGCATCCCCTCACGAGCAGCCCGGTTCGTGTTCGCGCCGAAAATGCCGGTCGCGTTTAGATGACATCACGCCACATGCGTCAGTCACGTGCCCGGCTGCTCGTCAGGGGTATCCATGGAAACCGGACGCTCATGCATTACGGTTAACCCGGACCTGATCTATGTGCCTCTATTCTCCAAGTCAGGTTTACATCACATCTATTAAAAAAAAATAATAAGAAGAAATAGTAATTGTACATTAAAGATTAAAGGTTAAAAACATTAGTAAGTATCTAAAGAGCATAGGTTTCTATGGGGGTACTATTATACCATAGGAAAGAAGACACAATAGGTATAAAATTTCACTGTCATATTTCTTAAAGTCATAACAGCGTTTATGCTACTGGAAATCCACCCAAGAGCTCTAGCCACTCTGTGAATATAATCACTATATTGAGTCACTATTAAATGTTTATCTTATTGAAATAAATTTATATATACCTATTTCCACAGCCACATCAAAATACCAGTTGCTCCATTTATATTAAAGGGACAAATACTGCTATCATGTCACTCTAACCTTACAATCTTACTATCACCTGTACCGAATTCTATCGGTTGTAACCAAAGTTTCATACGGTCAAAATCTCATATAATATCAGGCCATGTTTCTCCAAAGAGATCTACCTAAAAGACTATATTTAAATCATTGCCATTATATAAGTAACAGGGGTGGACTGATTATCAGATAGTCATAATTACCCAAAATGTATCACAACAGTGGACAATCATGCGACTATAAATTAATACATATCCTACTAAGCCCAGACTATATTCACTTAAAGAAAAGTGAATTAATAGTCTAATATGTGACAAGGTAATTTATATGACATATATTACTCTTCCTTCATATAAGTACTGATATTCCCTGGCCCTTCCACAAGGGTTGGCTCTTGGTTAAATCAGGGCTCATCCGGAGTCATTGTAAAAATGTCTAAGATACATTGTGATGTTCCTTTCCTAGAGAAAGACTGATAGGGAATATTTTTCATTCAGTCCTTTTGGTGCAATTGTTTCCAGTGTTCTAATCCAATAGATCTCTCTTTGAAGGAGCATTTTCTTCCGCCCCCCCCCCCCTCTCCTTGGTGGTGGGATCTGGTCAATCGACATTAGTTTCATTGACGGAAGAGCATGTCCTGCTTACAAGAAATGTCTAGCTACGGGTAGCTTAGAGGCATTATCCCGATAAGCCACCCGAACACTGGAACGATGGTTGCGAATTCGTTCTCTTAACGGCAGATCGGTTTTGCCTATATATACCAGGCCACAAGGACACGTCAATTTATAGATAGCAAAGTCAGTGGTACACGTCAATCGATGTTTAAAGGACCACTCTAGGCACCCAGACCACTTCAGCTTAATGAAGTGGTCTGGTTGCCAGGTCCAGCTTGGGTTAACCCATTTTTTCATAAACATAGCAGTTTCAGAGAAACTGCTATGTTTATGAATGGGTTAAGCCTTCCCCCTAATCCTCTAGTGGCTGTCTCATTGACAGGCTAGACGCTGCGTGCTTCTCACTGTGATTTTCACAGTGAGAGCACGCCAGCGTCCATAGGAAAGCATTATGAATGCTTTCCTATGTGACTGGCTGAATGCGTGCGCAACTCTTGCCGCGCGTGCGCATTCAGCCAACGGGGAGGAGAAGAGGAGGATCGGAGGAGGAGAGCTCCCTGCCCAGCGCTGGAAAAAGGTAAGTTTTAACACCTTTCCCCCTTCCAGAGCCGGGCGGGAGGGGGTCCCTGAGGGTGGGGGCACCCTGAGGGCACTATAGTGCCAGGAAAACAAGTATGTTTTCCTGGCACTATAGTGGTCCTTTAATAGTGAATTGTTTGCCCGTGTGGGGATGTGAAAACGTGCGGCCTGGGACCATATGTCCACAGGTAACAGAAAAGTCATCGGGGAGGGAAGTATCGTTACTTAGCACCCGCCAGTTCGCATTAATAGATCTTCTCAGTGCCACAGAGGCGGTATTGTAGACCGTTGGAAAGACTAGTCGTTGGTTCTTAATATCAGGTATAGTTTTTGTGTGGTGGCATCTGTGTAAGGCGCTATTTAGTGTAGATTTCTTGTACCCCCGTTCCAGAAATTTGTCCCACATGATGTTAATTTGTTCTCGAGCTCTCTCAGGTTCCGAGTTGTTCCTGTACACCCTTAAAAATTGCGAATAAGGCAAAGATGTTTTTAACGGGTTTGGGTGAAAGCTCGTAGCATGTAGGAGTGTATTCCGGTCAGTGGGTTTGGTGAAGAGGGTATACATGATTTTATTATTTTCAATGCTCACCCTCACATCCAGAAAATCAACGGTGGTTGGACTGGCAGTAATTGTCAGCTCGATGTTAGGATATGCCATATTAATTGAAGCCACCATATCAGAGGCAGTACCAAGGTCTCCTTTTATGATGAAAAACAGATCATCGATGAATCTCGCATACATCAGTATCTTAGCTTTAAATGGTTCCAAAATATGTTCCATCTCAAATCTATACATGAAGCAGTTCGCATACATAGGGGCCATCGCCGCCCCCATTGAGGTGCCTGCCACCTGGCGATACCAGCTTTTTTCAAAACGAAAATAGTTACAGGTTAATACCGCTTCAAGAAGTTCCATTGTACTTCCAATCAGTAATAATTTTTGTTTATACTGTTTAGATATTGATATATTCACATATTCAGTATCTCACAAGTGTTCTAATGCACCTGTCACTTTAATTATTGTACGATAGCACTTTATTAAGTGCGTTTAAGATAGTAATACACTTGGTTAAAAATAATAGAATATACCTGGTGGTTTTCACTATCCTTTCAACTGTACTTAGCTAGATATTTATTTTTTTATTATTTTGTTCCAACACTAATATATTCTTTATTTAAGTAGACATGCACTGCTTTGTGTATATATGTTGCCCACCAACAATGTATTAGAAGATCTGGCACTCTCCAATTACACGAATGCGAGGGTGACATGCACTTGGAACGCACTTGGAACGCGGAAGTAGTATGCTTACTTAAACGAAGTTAAACGAACAAAAAGGAATTATTTTACCATTTTTTTTCTGTTCATTTGTTACCAGTTCCTGAAATTCCAACATATGTCCTGTAATTCTTTAGTCCTGGATATGAAAGCTGAAAAATACTCCACAAATTGATTAGTTTAGGCAATTACATTTACAAAACAATGCATCCTTTACTATGCAGTTTACTTTCTCATACAGGTAAGACTACTTACCCCCAACAAGGACAAATTCTCCCACACCTGTAACTGAAAAGGATGGTCTCTTACATCACCAAACATCCCCTAAACGTGTGCTGCACTGTCTTGACTATGATGTACACTACATGTTCACACAGCTGCTAAAAAAAAATAAAAAAATTTCCTTCCTTATTCATAATCACATATATATATATATATATATATATATATATATACACACACACACTAGTATTCTGTGTATATGCTTACATGAATCTATTATTTGATCAATTTGCATTATTAAGCTTATCTTTTTTTAACTACTAATTTAATCAGTTTAGTCCAAATATCTTTTCAACTAAACAAATCCTTGAATGCCAAACAAATTTAAATTAGTACACAAACAAACAGGGTCAAATAACCAGCAATAAAACCTGGTGAACAGATTTAGTGAAAAGTATTTTCAAATGCAAATGGTAGCAAACAATGAAACTAGGCCTCAACCCATTCACACCATGTGGTCAATGGTGGATTGAAACCCACATGGTTAGACAAAAAGTAAAAAAATAAATAAAAAAAAATAATAAAAAAAATAAAAAAATATATATATATATTTATATATATATATGTATATATATATATATATATATATATATGTATATATATATATATTTAAATATTTTTAAATATGGTAAAACATAACAGCAAGCAACACAATAATTCTTAACTATCTTCTACAGCAAGAGATACCTTA